TGTTGATTATGGCTAATGTAGTTATAGTTTCTCCTTGTATTGTTATAACTGTTGCCTTGCTGTAAGTTTCTGCTATTAGTCGTTGTTGCTGGTTTTCTTCTCTTATTATTATTATTTTTTCTTCGTACTAGACAATAGTTGTTGCTGGCAATGTTGCTGTTGTAGTTTCTCCTGTTATTGTTGCTGTTGCTTTTGCTGATGGCGGCGCTGCTGGTGCTGGTGCTGGTTCAGAGTGAGTGGCAGCGAGTGTAGCTTTTTCGTAATGTCGAGAGTGTTTAAAATGCATAAAAAAGCAACAGCAGCAATTTGTATGGATTTCATTTCAGCGAGCGGATGCATAAGCAATGAGCAGCAAAAGCAGCAGCACCACAGCATGGATATTGTGCAGATAGATAAACTTCCAAACTACCGACGCCACCAACTTATTCAGATTCAGATACAGATTGCCATAAAACCAAATTGAAATTTAAACAAAAATTGTTTTTGCTTTGGTCGCTTTGACATCATTGTTTCGAAGGCAAATCGCTTATTCTTTTTTTGCTTGAATCTCATAATATGAATTTGAATAATTTGTATATATTTTATACTTGAGTCTAAAGAGTGAATGTGTGAAGCAAGTAAAACAAGCAATGATAGTCTCGATAAGCGATAAGTTATCGCTATATCCCACTCACTCATTTCAATTTCACCGTTTAACATATTTTCGTTGTAATTAAATTATCGATTGCAACTACAGGAAAAGCCTCCGAGTAATAATAAGCACATAAGCATAAAGTACACCGCACATACAAATAGTACACAATGTCTATATGTTTATATGTTTGTATATATATGTATATATATCAGAGAAAACGTGTCAGGCCAAAGCAAACGCAATGGAAATGGCCAAAAGCAAAAAAGCAAAAGCAGCCACAGCAAACACACAAAACGGAAACACAGAGGCAGGCAGGCAGGCCAACTTGGCCAAAAGGAAAATCGGCGATGAATTAACTCTTTGCCATGAACAAGCAAAGCAAAGCGTATAACGGTATGTCGAATTGTTCATTGTTTATTTGTTTGTTTGTTTGTTTTCTCCTTCGAAAGCCGATGAAAGAAAGCAAAGCGAAGAAGTTAAGTAAAAGAAAGCAAAGTAAGACCGATAGACAGATAAATAGATTATTCATACATATACATATGTACACGGCCAAGACAGCAGGTGGGCAAAAAAAAAAAATAAATAATAATATATAGAAACTGTTAAGAAAATGCACATCATATCAGAGGAAAAAAGCAAATGGTTAAATATATGCATACATCATTTAATCCTCTTTATTTCAGACAATTAAACACATTTGCATAATACGATTTGTAAATAAAAGCAAATACACTTTAAGCACCCCTTTCGCATCCCTTGGAATATGCTGCAAATGTTGTAATTGGTTTTTAACATATTTAAGCACTTGAAGCAGATACTTTTGTATCTTAGGGATACCTATTGCCTTCATTTTAAGTTAAACCTTACATTCAAGAGTGTTTTACCTAAAAACGTTTAAAATTAAAAAAATATATTGCTTTGCCATGATTTTGATGTTCTTAAATGTACAACAAATGTTTTTACAAGTGAAAATATCTAAATGACATATATATACATATATATATATATATATATATATATGCATTAAAACAACTAGAAAATGGAGCAGCAAGTAAGAAGTTAAAAAAGCAGCAGACGCAGCGCGAACGTGTGGAAAAGACAGAAAATAATGATACAACCACACAGATACTATTATATGCTCATGTGTGTGTGTATGTCTGAAGGTTTAGTGCACTGATGATGATGTTGTTGTTGCCATGTGCCTGGCCGAGGTGCACACAAGCAGCAACAACTATAACAACAACTACAACAACAATTACAACAACTACAACAACAATGGGCGCTTTGGCTATCATCGCTTGCCGTTTGTTGTTGCTTTTTTTTTTTGTTGCAAGTGGAACGTGATTATTTCAACGAGCGCTATTTTTTCTTCATTTTTTTAGCGCACAAAAAAAAAGTGTGTACATATAAAAAAATCAGAGACGCGCATTTGTCTGTTTGTATAAATAAATTAAAAAAATAAAAAGAGCTCATATATATAATTCCTATTTGCTTGGCTTTGATTTCTTTTTGTTGATTTTTTTCTCCCCATTTCCATTCCGTTTTTGTTTTTCCCGTTCGAAGGTTGTTGCTCTTGTTGTTGTTGTTTTTTTTTTGTTGGTGTTGTTGTTGATGCGTGTGCATTTTTGTTCCTGTATTGTGTTGTTATTGTTGTTGATCTTTTTTGATTGATTAAGTGAAATGTTTGCTGTTATCTTTTGGTTATCAATTAGTTATCGACAAGCTGTGTGTGTATGATGAATATATCATATATACTATTAGGCAAATCAATTGGATATTTATTCAATAAAGTTTGACATTTTCACTGCTTAATTATGTGGAATTTTATATTTTCTTTTTTCTTTTGGAATATATATAAATCTACATTTTATGATGTTAAATTCCCCAACTGTCTATATCTATCTCACCATTTTGTATTTCAATCTGTAGACAATCTTTAAATATTTGTAATTGCATTTGAATGGCAATTAAACAACGCTAATTACCCATTTGGATATTTCTTGGATTTTTCTGGCCCTTTTCCCAATGGCTCTGTTGCCCTCTTGGAAAAATCCCAACAAATTGTGTGCGGAGCGAGGCGCACAAGTTTTCCCCTATTGTTGTTGTAGTTGTTGTTATTATTGTTGGTGTTGTTGTTGGTGTACCTCTCCATGCTCCCTAGCTCCCTTCCTACCGTTTTTTTTTATATTTTGTAGTTTGGTTTCGTGTCGTTTTTATGTCTCTGCCTATCTGCGTTTAGCTATGCTTCGTTTTGCCTTGCTTCGCTTTTGCTTTGCTTTTGCTTTGGTTCGTTTGCTTTGCTTTTGGCTTGCTTTTTCTTTGGTTTTTTGGCCTGAGCTTGGCCTGAATAATGTTTTTGTTGTTGCTGCCGTTGCCGCTGGCTATGAAATATGCCGCTTTCCTTGTATCCGTATCTGTGTCCGTTTGCTGCTTGTAACTGCATCTGTATCTGTGGCTGTAGAGCTGTATCTGTATCTGTTGGATTGTTGCTGCAACATTGCAAAGAGGAAAAGGCAAAAGATACGACAACGACGACGACGTCTGGCAAGTCCTTATGGAAGCCATAGAAAATGCTGGTTAGCATTTGGGGGCCCCCAAACACAACAATTGCATCATCATCATCATCGCTGGCACTTAAAACCAAACACTTTGGACTAGTTCAAAACAGAAAAAAAAACAGCTCAAACAGATACAAGATACAAAGGTGGCAAGTGATCCAAGGTGTGATTTGTTAATAACATTCTCAAATATAAATACAAATACATCATTAAAATTAGTTAACTGCTTTGAATCAAAGTTCATTTAGTTGTGTATTTTCAACTTTGTTTTGTAATATTATAAATATGTAAATATATATTTGTTTTTAACAAATGTACCTAAGAATATCAATCTGAAAAATGTCTGTAAACTAATCTACATAATAGGGGTTCTTTAAGCTTGCAATTAACCCTTTACTATTATCCCTTCGTTGGTTGCATCTCCAACAAATCACCTTTGCATTAATCCCCGCCAGGTTAAGCTTACTATTCGGTTTTCCGACTCCAATTCGGATACGGAATTCGGTTTTTTTTAACTGCCGCAAATGCCAACGCAACTCGGGGAAAAGAGCAGAGAGTCGAAGTCGACAAAGTCGCCCACTTGGTTTGGCACTTGGCCTTTAAGGCCCCGGCAGTCAACCGCAACGATATACACACACATTGTATATATATATTTGCTGTGTTTGCATTTGTGTATGTGATGTACCACGCACTTTAAAAGGGCAAAAACAAATCAAGCATCCGCCGCGTGGGCGTCGTCCCCACCCCCTCAAGTTCACAGTTCACATGACACACAACGCCAATTGTTACAATCATCATCATCAACCTGCTGCTGCTGTTGCAACTAAGGAGGAGAAGGGCTTAAAATAACACTAAAGAAGACTTAATTTATTTGGTAATATATATAGCAGGAAAAAGGGTTAATTAGAGAGTTCTTAAATTGTTAAAAGGTTTGATTTTTGCTTTTGGATTTTAGCTTTGAGGCAATTGATTTGTACCTTTAAATATTTAGTTTCAAATTTAAAAGGGAATAGAAGTGTCCATCTTTTGGGATTACTAATTATCTATACATATTTTAAATGCTTCAACTTTTTAGTTAGTTAATTTATAATCAGTCTTCTTGAACAATTGCTTACCTAACCCCTTTCTTTATTAAGAAAAATAGGGAAGTAAGTAACCTTAGTTTTTGACTTCTTTAAAGTTAAAAAATAATTATAAAGACATGAACTTTCCCTTATCATTATTATATGTATCTAACAAATAAATTATAGCCTCTCTTTGAGCATTAATATATTTAAAAAATAATATATCTGAGCAACAAAATATGTGATCATTATTATATTATATCTAAGCACTACTAAAACTGAGCATTAATATATTTCTCTAATCATAAATATATTTAAGCAATAATATCCCTAAGTATTATTATATCAGACCATACATATATCTCTCTGATCATTATTTCATATCATATAACAAGAAATTAAATATCCTTTTAAAAAATCGCTGATCATTAATATCTCAAAGTATTATATCAAACCATTAATATTATATTTCTATCTAATCATAACTATTTTAATCATATCACAAGGAATTCAAAATTCTTTTTAAAATCACTAATCATTACTATTTTTATCACATCACAAGGATATATATATATATATATTTTTAAAAAACTCTCTGATCATTACTATATATCACATCACAAGGTAAAAAAAACCCCTAACTTTTCAATTAAATCACCCCAATCGTTGCCGTTTTACCTTTCCACATGTGATTGGAATGTTGATTGAAAATGAATTTGAAAATAAAAGAAAAGCAAAACTCACCTGGGCAGATTCTGCAGGTAACGCATCTGTTTCTCGCGACGCAGCTCATCGGTGAGGCGGCAGTAGGTGTTGTTAATGCAAACGCTGCGCCGCAGATTCGCCTCCGAGTCCTTGATCCGCTCCAGCTTGTGGGCGCACAGCTGCAGGATGCGCTTGCGTTCCTCCCGCTGTCGCAGCTTCGGTGAGATCATCGGGACGCGGGAGCGGTGGTGGTGGTAACCAATCGGTGGAGAGCAGCGGGGCGGTCCAAAAATGTCGGAATCTTCGTCACTGCTGCTGCTGCTGCTGTTGTTGTTATTACTGTTACTGTTACTGTTGTTGTTGTTGTTGCTGTTGCTGTTGCCGCCGCTGGTCGCATTTGGGTTTGTTGGCAAGGTCATTGTGCGCGTTTGGAGCGTAAATAAATTTATATATATTCGTTTTGCTCCTTTGATTTTGTTCTTTTTTTTCTTTTTGTATGTCTGCTTAAGGCCCAGTTCCAGGTCTTTTATGGTTTTTAATTATTATTTTTTTTTTTAGTTTTCAAGAGTTTTTGTGACTTTTTTTTCTCTCCAAAAATAAGGAAGTCACACGTACGCACGCACACACACACGTACGCTCTCCTTTGAGCCGCTCTCTTAACACAGCTCTTTCTCTCTTGCACTTGCTGCCGTTTCTTCTTCTGTCTGCCTTTGCTTTTTCAGTGTGTTGTTGCTTTTTTTTGCTTTTTCCTTATTTTTTTTGCGTGAGATTTCACTTTGCTGTTTACCGTTAGCTTGGAAGAGCTGCCGCTTTTTGTCTTTGTTCAATTAATTGTAAGGGAGAAAGAAAAAAATTCAAAATAATCCAGGACTTTTGAATTTTTGGTCGCTTCTTTTGTTGTTTGCTCCTTTTTCGGTTTAATTTGCACTTGTTTCTTTTGCTTTTCGTTTAACAATAAAAAAATTCAACAAAAATTGCTACTTGTTTTCTTATTTGTTATTTAATTTCGTTTTTTTTTTGTTTAGGCACACAAAAATTGCAGAGTTTTTGGGGTAGGAGGCGGGGGTAATTATTATTAACAAATGAGGTCTCACATTTAATTGTGTTTCTGTTTGCGAGCCGCCTGTTGAGGGTGCGAGGGGGGGTGCGAGTGGGGCGGCGAGCCTTAAGTGGAAGCGCGTGGTTGCACCGTTAGAAATGTATAAAAAAACACACACACGGAATAATACGTCCAACTTCGCTTTAGTTTGTTTTTGTTTTTTTTTTTTTTTTTAACTTGACTTTGTAGTTTTGAAACCGAACTCGCGAAACAGTTTTAGCCGGCGTTCACTTAATTTTTTTTATATTTCAGTTTGTTCGAACTTCCTTGGGAAATCCCGCTTTCCGTCTGCCGCGGAGCGTCAACAACAAAGTCACACCAAGTAGGAGCGACGAACCGCTTGCGACGAAAGTTGAAACGAAAATGGCATCAGCGACGAGGAGGAAAATGGTATAGGCGGTATGAGCGCTTGAAACACTCGCTGTTGGCTAACATTTTACACGGTACGCGTAAAAAATGGTGATTCTACGCGTTTACAGATACATGGTGTCGAATTCTCATTTCTCGGGGTCCGAATTCTCGCCTCTGGGGTAGAGTTCCCGTGTAGAAAGTAAAATTCATTAACAGAGCTGCGCTGAGTGAGAGAGCAAGAGCGTAAGTTAACAGAATTCTGCCTCTTTTGGCTGTCGGGCGAACGTAAGCTAACAGAGTTCTCTCTCGGTGGCTGTTCAGAACAGAGTCGAGGGCTGCCGAGCGGCTCTCTTAACAGACGACAGAGCGAGAGTTCGCTTTGCGCAAATAAAAAGATGTAGTTTTTGCGCAAATAAAGAGTGTATGTATTTTACTTTGATGCTCTTACACTGTAACGGAAGCAAAACGCTGGTCAGTGGGTGGTGTTTTTGTGCCCTTGTTGTTATTGTTTTTGTGGGCGTGCGAGCATAATTTGAATAGTTGTTGCTGCCGCCTCTTTATTATGTTTTATTGTTTATAAATAAAATCCTTCAAAAATGAATTAAACATTAATTATTATCATTTCCTTAAATTAATTTCGACACCGCCGAAAATCAAAACAAAATCAAATCAAAAGCAAAGCCAAAATCAGTGTCAAAGCCGCTGCCGTCGCCTCTGCCTCTCTTAAGCTTCTTCCTTAGTTACCCTCCCCCCCCTCCGCCACCCTGCAACAAGTTCAACTCAATTTACAGTTTTAGAATGTTTCTCCACAGTGAGGTCAGTTTTGGCAGCTCAATATTCGTAACGTCTGTCTCTGTCTGTCTCTGTCTGTCGTGTGTGTGTGTGTGTGTGTGTGAGCACAAAGAGACAATGCAAATTTGGCCTCAAACAAAGAGTAAGAGAGCTAGACAGCGAGAGGTAGAGTGGGGGAAAAGAGAGCAAGTGCAGATCTTTGTTTATTATTGTTAATACTATTATTAAGGCGATGATGCTTGTTGTTGTTCACATTGTATTTAAGGCCACGCTTCGCTTGAAAAATTTGTTTGTTTAAGCAAATGCTTCACCCGAAAAATAATTAAATTATTTTTATTAATTAGAATACATATTTGTTTCCTAGAGCTCAAAAAAACTTCCCCGATAAATGATTCACAGTAAGAGATAGGGAGATGCTACTAGAGGGGGAAGAACATACCTTCTTAGTGCATAAATTTTAAATATAAGAGATTTAACAAAATAGATTCTTAACATTTTATTTCCCCCCCCCCTGCTCTAGCTCTCTCATTTTCCTTTTGCACGCTTCACCTTTTTGGCGCGCTCTTTTGTTATTTCCTTACAAGTCGCCAGTAGATAAATTCGAATTACGTAATTAAGTAACAACAACAATGTGGGGGAAACAAGAGCAACAACAGCACAGAAGAAGCTAACAATTAAGTATTTATTGCTTTCAATTTGCTGTCCGATAACAGAAGAACCCAAAAAAACAAAAAAAAAAAACAAAAAGCAGAACAAAGTAAATAAAAACCGAAGCGGACACACTCACACATGCATGCATAGATGTGACGCACACACACACACACACGCTGCTACCTGCGGCAGCGAAATCAGCGCCGCGCGTTTTGAGATGTTTTTTTTTGCTTTTGTTTTTACCCCGTTTCGGCATGGCTTTTAATTCTTTCGCCGCCCGCGATTAGCGAAGGCACGCGCTTTTGGCTTTTATTTCACAGGTAAACGTAAATCGCACACTCCACAAACACACACACTCACACACATTCGCTTCTAAAATAAACTAACAGAGGCAACAACAGCAACAAGGTAAAGAGGAACGGGATCTGGCTTGAGAAGTGAAAATGAAACTTCTTCAAATGCGAATTGCATTCGAAAGAGCGAGATGGAGCGAGAGTAACATGCCGCCTTAATTATCAATAACATATTTAAGTTCCCATTTCAATCTCTACAAGACCAAGACTCTTCCCCCCCCCACATTCCCCCCTCCCTCCTATAAAAATACTCATCTAGTGGCGCTCTTTTTCAATCTCTCTCTCCTCTCTTCGTCGACGCCGCTCTTTGCATTGGGCCACTTGAAGCGGAGAGCACTGTGGGCTCAAAACGATGTGTTATTGAAATATTTAAATGTAATCTATTTGTTTTCGATAAAATAAATAATAAATAAAATTAATTAATTGAGTCTGTCGCAGTTTAGAAGATTACTTTTAATAGCTTGGAATTTTAAGGATTATCCAACTTCTTAAGGGCTTGTTTTCATATATATTTTTGTATACGTGTGAATATACCTGGGGAAATTGTTAACCCACAGGTATAGGTAGGTAGGGCCATTGGAAAACAACCCTAGGTTTACATCAAAGACATTTTATATACCATAAACTGGGGTAACGAAATTTTAAATGTTATTATTATTTAAAAGAAAAGTTCACTCTACATAATATTTTATATTATTAAAGATAATTTTATTTAAACCAAACTCTTCTCACTTCGACCCACTGTGCCGCGTGTGAATGAACGTATAAAAAGTGAGAGCGTCGCCTGCTCTGCGGGCTTCAGCTCATAAACGAAAATCAATGACTCCCAATACACCACCACCCCCTCGCGCTGCTCCCTGTGCTGTTGCCCCCTGTGGGCTTCCCCCCTTGTACACTCGCACACTCCCCTGCTTTTTTGGAGCGATAAATGCCGCCTTAGCGTCGTCAGCAGACTCTGCCTGCGCATGTTTGTCGGTATGTTTGAATGTACTCACAAACATACATATGTACATACCCTTCATAAATAAGTACGTACATATGTATGTATGTATGTAAGTAAGCATGTGTCGATTTGGCTGCATTTAAGAAATGACTTTTGTGTTTGGAAGCATTGTTAGATTTCTTGTTGTTGCTTCCTTTTTGGACTCTGGGACAGAAGAAAAAAACGCAAGTTTTTATCAACATACATATGTATGTACATACATCCCTACATGCATAGACATGCAAACGATTGCCATTTTAGGTGGTTGTTGTTGTTGCTGTTGCTCTTACATTATGACACATGTTTGGTGTTGGTCAAACCAAAATGAAAAAAGAAGGGTAACGTGAGGCATTAACGTAAGGCCCAACTAACGTAACGGTAGGCATTTGCATTTCTCTCTCTCGCGAGACAGCAACACCAACAACAGCAGCAGCAGCAACAGTGACAGCGACAGCGACAGCGACTCGACTCTTTTGGGGTCTCTTTGTGTTTTTATGCTTTCAACATTGATACGTGCCACTTTTCGCATACACACACACTAATGCAAAGGAGACGGGAAGAGGCAGAGGCGCACGCCGAGTGCTGCTGCTGATGTCGGGCTTTGTCGGGAGGGGGGGCAATGTGTGGGGACAGCTGGGTAAGTTTGTAATTAATTGCGGCCTTGCCTCCCCCTCTTCGCTTCGCTTCGCTCCGTTACCTCTCTCTCTCGCTCTTGCTCACACAACTCGCTACTGAGCTACAGCCGCTAACAGTTTGTTTTCTTTTTCTTTGCCCCCCCCCATCCCCGTCCGCCCCCTATCCGTGTCTTCGTCGGGATTTCCGTCTCATCGTGGTGGGGTGCTGGTGCAATGGTGAAAAGATGTGGTTTGTGGAGGAGGAGGAGGAGGTGGGGGGAGCATAACATTGCTGGGCCATCGGCCTAGTCTTAGTCGAGTCGCCAACCCAAAGCAATGTTCGTCCAATGCCTCTTCTTTTCTCGTACTCCATTCATGCCTCCGACTCACTCTCACCCATATTCATGCAGGGTACACCGTTCACTGTACAGTACTAACTCCATACAGAGGAAGATAATAAGGCAAGGAATGTTAAAAAATGTATCTAAGTACAGTCCATACTTGTATTATTTAGTATATTATCTTCTAGTTCCCTGCTTAACTTTAATCGGGTGTTTAATTAAGTATCTTATATTGCCATTCCTTCGAGTGTTCACTGTACTGTACCAGTAGTAAGTAACTCGCCCGAAAACGGACAGTGAACGAGCTGAGCAGAGCAGAGCAGAGCAGAGCGGAGAAAGCGCGCTAGTTACAGTTACAGTTACGTTACAGAGGGCCGGCCAAAGACAATGCTAAGTTCGGTTAACGGTAATTACACTGAGCATGACACTGGCGCGGGCGTGGGGGGGTGGGGGAGAGCCTAATTGAGTGGGATGAGCCGCATTCAAAGCGTATGGCTAATTCCGATACCACTTGCAGCAACCAATCAACCAAACGATTTCCTTTCAATTTGGCTAAAAAAAAGAAGGGAATTTGAATTCAGTTGGATATTTAACCCTTAGCTAGGCACCGTTTCTTTTTGGGTATAGATATTAATGTATCTACTTTGCTTAACATTTTCTAGTAGAAATATAAATATGTATACATATACAATACTTAGCTGTATCGTGTATCTGAACAATGAATGCATTGCAGCATTATTTAACCTCAAAAAGCCTTCAAATATTTAGCTACCAAAAAAAAAAAACATAAATAAAATAAAAGCAGCAACAACTGCTGCCCCAAGGGCATTCTTCTGTTTCTTCTATGGCATCGTCTTCTTCTTCTTCTGCTGTTGCTGCTCGTTCGTCATCGCTTTTAGTTGTTGTTTTTGTGTGGCCTGTGATCGAGAAATACCAAATACAACAACAACAACACAACTACAATCACTCGAAGTCGAACCAAAAGAGTCGAAGTCGAACTCGAAGTTTCGTGCGCTCTCCCCCTGTTTATTTTTTTTTGCTTGCTGCATCTGTCGCCCCCTCTCGCTCGCACAACTTAACTTATCGCATAATCATCGAACGACGACGACGACGTATTGTCAACGTGTGTGTGTGTGTGTTGGCCCGCATTTACGTATGCATGTATTTTTGTTGTTTTCCTTTTTGTTTTGGTCGTGTGCAGTTAGTGCAGTTTTCTTTGTTATTGTTTTTGGCACGATTTGAGTTTGATTTTGATTTCGAGTACATAACGTAAGGCAACATAACGTAAGGCCATGCGGGAATATTATTTAATTATAATTTATTTGTATTTTATTTAAAAGGAGTGTAAGGGAAAAATACAATGTAATAGAAAAGTTCTACTTTAAGAGATTTCCCCTAAGAGAGTTTTTAGATCTTTCGATTATCAAGAAAAAACAACTAATTTACAAACAAGGCCAAATATTTGTGTCTCTATTTTTTTTTCTTTGCTGCCTTTATTGTTTGCAAACCAAATATGGTTCAAGGTTTCATTTTCTTTTCTTTGCCATATTTCTTTTTTAGAAGCGCGTGGACTTTGTTTTCGCACTGATTGTGGTACGTTGTTGGCTAATTATAGATTTAAGGGTGTACATAATGTATTAGCAGTTTTCTGCTGGTTTTCTTTTTTATTTTTTTCTAGCTCTTCCTGATTTCTTTATGGGCTCTAGCTTCGTTGTT